GAACCTCAATGAAAAACTCCAGCGAGAGGACTTCCGATTTTCCGACGAAAGCTTGTAGATCTACAAATCTCTTCAACCTTCAAATCCAAATTGCCGGTGACTCACATGGACCCACCGAAATCCAAAGACATGCCTGGACTCGTCTCGCCGGACCGCACATCTCCTTTGCCTCAATCCCAAAACTGGGTAATTCCCTTGCCTGAAACCGAAGGACTGGAATCGCGCTTTCGCAAATCCACCCCTGCATTTCAAAACAAGAGTTTCGATGGGCGGGATACTTAACGCGTTAGCTACAGCACTGGACGGGCCGTCGCCGGATCCGGCGAACTTTTCCGGCGACCATTTTTTCCGGCGAACGAGCACCCACCGAGTTTCCGGTACGTATTTTCGAGCTTTTATTGTTAAATGCCATCGATTCCTTTAGTTTGGTACCTTTTTCAGGCGACCGGATCTCCGATTTTTCCTATATTTCTCTATTTTCGAACTCCGGCGACCGTTTTTCTCGAAAATTTTTCCTAAGTCCAACGTCTAGATTTCGATTTATATTTCCGTACTTTCATTATATGCGTTGTTCTTGGATCACTACTCTTGCCGGAGTAGTCGGATTGAGTTTATTGGGTTAGACTTGTGTGATTAGGCACGTTTTGCCGGGCGTGCCACATATACGTGTGTTTTTGCCGGGAGTTTGAGTTGTAGGTACCTACTTACGGCAAGCGCCGGTAATCGCTTATGCGTTGCATACATACGGAGTTCGTTGTGTTGGACCATGGCGGATATCGACAAGGACTTCGAGGCCCGATTTTTGCGCTTTCACGTGAACGTGTGTCTACGTTGAGTTTATGCATTCTTGGTTACTATCACTCCGAGACACACACACATAGCCTCTCTCGTTTCAAGTACTTAAACGTTAAACCGTTCGGATGGCTTAATTTCGCGCTCAATGGCCTTCGGTTGACCCCCTCTATTCCCTCCGGACGACCACTTTTGGACACACGGTGGTGACGACCACCGTGTCGAGTACGCCTTTTCTTTTCCTATTTTCTCTTTCTTTATTTGCTTCTTGTGTGTCTTTGTGTGATTTTGTCTTGTTTGTTTGTCATTGTGTCTCGTCTTCATTTTTATCACATGGACGTACGTGATTATGTGCTTTCGCCTATACTTTTTGGTCAAGCAATGAGGACATTGCTTTGTTTTAAGTGTGGGGGAGGGATTTCGTGATTATGCATGTTTAGATGATATTCTCTTCTTTTTTGTTTCTTATTTTTCGTATTTGTTGTGTCGTGGACCGGTTTTATTTGAGTTTTTGTGTGTTCGTGTCATCTCTCCCGCATGGAACTTGATGTTTGTTCGAGAGTCGAGATAGCTATGTGGTGAGTCGAGATTATTGATTGGTTTCACTATTAGCATTCATGTGCGATGTACTTGATGAATTTGACGGTTCCCTTTGATTGATTGATGATTCGTTGACATTGGAACTCACATGTGGATTAACGGAAT